ATTCTATTCTATTCTATTCTATTCTATTTTTGTAATCCTCTGTCATAGATGACAGAGGAATACAAAAATAATTGCATTTCTCTCAAAGGAAGTTTTCCAAAACACTTACCAACAAAAGCACCTCAGAAGTCTCAATGGATTAGAGACAAGAGTTAAAAAGCAATTAAACTAGGCAGGCTGGACAAACAGAACTTACAAGTGTCCTTGCAATCTGTCATGAATTAATGTGAAGTAAGCAAGAAGTAAGAAGCAAGACCTCAGCTGGTAAGGAAAAGAGGACATCCAGATTTGTTTTATAGCTGAAATTTAAGGGGATATATCATATCCTTGCAGAATATAATATATAATTCCTTACAGGAAGCAAGAGGGAAGGAGAACGACTTCCTCCTTCAGAGGTGAGTTCTGTAAGTGAATTTAATTTTTCTTGGTTGTGTCTTCATTAGACAAACCAAGACGAGCTTCTCTCTTCACCCAAGAGCAACAGAACAGGAGAAGAAGGAAAATCAGAGAGCGCATACATTTTTTGAAGTTATAATACCAGTTAGCAGATAAAATACCAGTTATAATATATCTTTATCTCTGCAATGCTGGGGAATTCCATCTTGAGTAATTTTATGATTCTACAGGTTTTTCTGCAGTGTTTTTGACCCCTATAGCTCTGTCAATAAATGGCTGAGTTTTCTGGCATGCAGCTAAATCCCATGCACATCTTCCACCTCGTTACATGATTTGTTTTTTTCCATTGTGAATATAAGCCAGGCTCATTAATGCCAGTTTTACAGCAATGTACCTGCTGATTTTCCTTGTGGGAAAGCTGTTCTCATTCCACTAAAGATATTTAAAAACCCCTATGAGCAGCACAGTGTTTTCTGTGATCTTAGGACGATTTACCCAACAATTTTCTTGGCTTTTTTCTTAATTTGTTTTAAATATGTATTTACGTTACAATGGCTGCTTCTGGGCCACTGTGGAGGGCTGCTCCATATTTCTCATTGATTTCTGTGATAAAAAGTCAGGATACATTGGTGTATTTCCATATATTTAAAACTCCTATGTATGAATTCTAGAATGAGGAGGCATAGAGAAAGACATTATAAAGGCAAAGATTTGTTGTACCATCTTTTTTTTGGTGGTTTCTTTTCTCATAAATGATGGCACCGCACCACTTCCATACACTCCATAAAAGCATAACCCCAAATAGCAAAAGAAATGAAAAGTTATGGAAGAATAGGGAGGATTTACGTCTTTTCTCTCTGAAGCAATGCAAGTAAATTAACCTTAAAATAAAAATCTCCCCTGGGAAGGATTCCTAAAATTTTGAAGGTTATATTCTAGCTCAAATTCTGTGAACAATCTATTTTCAAAATCGATATAACTGATCTGCTAGGGAAATCACTGATCCCTTTATTTTACTCTATTTTGCTAGAACTTGGGAGGGTTACACTGCACTGTGATATATACTATGACTATGCAATAGGTAAAAGTAGATATGTATCAAAATGAATGAAAAAATGAACACTTGGCAGAGTGACTGATATGGAAATAAATTTTCCACTGTCTTGCCAAATTGTCTTTTGGTGGATGTTAATTTAAAATGAAACAAAATCTCTGATAATGAGAGCCTTAGTATAGACACTGGGGATTGTTGGTCTTTTTAGCTGCTGCGCCTCTCTATTAATTTATTATTTTTAGTATGGCTCTAAGAACATCACTCACAGCACTTTTGGAGAAGATGGACAAGGAAAATCAAACAGAGAGAGTTACAGAGTGAGTCTCTTGTGGGACTGACAGACAACCCATGACTACAAGCACCTTTGTTTGTTCTGTTCCTATTCATTTACCTCACCACTCTGGCAGGAAATCTGGGCATGTTTGCGCTGATCAGGAGCAGCAGTCAACTTCAATCACCCATGTACTTTTTCCTTAGCAATTTGTCTCTCCTAGACGCTTGCTACTCATCTGTGGTGGCACCAAAGGCCTTAATGAACCTTCTGATGAGGAAGAAAACGATATCTATAGCTGGCTGCACCACCCAGTTTTTTTTTTCCTAGCTTTTGGGACCACCAAGTGCTTCCTTGTGGCTGCAATGGCGTACGACCACTACACGGCCATCTGCAACCCTTTGCTTTACCCATCTCTCATGTCTCACAGGGTCTGCATCCTACTGGTGGCCGGTTCATACGTGCTTGGCCTGCTGCACTCTTCAGTGCACACAGACTTCACCTTCAGTCTGCCTTTCTGTCGTCCAGTCAAGGTCAACCATTTCTACCGCGAGCTCATGTCTGTTCTAGCACTCTCCTGCTCCAACATCTGTGTCAACAGGCGCCCGGTGTTTGGCCTCGCGGGACTGGTGGAGATGGTGACCACCTTGGCTGTCTTGGTCTCCTACACCTTCATCCTCTCTGCCATCTCAAAGAAGAGCTCTGCCAGGGGCTGGCACAAAGCCTTCTGCACTTGCACCTCCCACCTGGCTGGCGTCACCATTTTCCATGGGTCTATCCTCGCCCTGAACTTCCAACCAAGGCCCAGTGACACCTCGAGCACAGACAAGATCTTTGCTGTGTTTTGCTCACTGGTGGTGTCCATGTTGAGCTCCCTGTTCTACAGCCTCAGAAACAGGGAGGTGAAGAAGGCCCTGAGGGATGTCATGTGGAAGTAGCTTTGCCATGATATTTATCTGGTGCTTTTGTGACGAAGGACACCATAACTTCACTCAATGCCAAGGATATTTTTTTCCCCACCCTATTACCTAGTCTTTCAGATTTGGTTTGGAAACATTTCCAAGTCTTGCTTTCTTTCTACTGCTGGCTTGTGCCAGTCACCAGATACCATAGACAACTTGATTAATCTTCTGTATTTTATTTCGTGAAGATCTTTTTCCTTCCCTCTTGGTCTTTTCAGATGTACACTAGTCATTATCTCCAGGCTCCTTGAATGCCCCATAAAAGTGTTCTTCCACAGCCATCAGCATCTCCCAACTTACAGCCTAAAATCTGCCTTATGACCTCTTTTCATTTTCAGGACCTCACTCCCTTATCATCAAAGGCCAATGAATCTTCCCTGTACAAATACAATACATTAAATGAAATTAATTAATGAAATACTTCTTTTAACAGGGAAAAAAAGGGCATTCCTCACCTATGTTAGGCACTGCTCTGAGATATCTGTCCTCTTCATTATCTAAAGGATAACACTAGATAAGGTGTCTAAAGCTAAAGATTTGTTAACTAATTTTTAGGTAGATAAGGCTAGGTTATATGAATACAATCTTAAGCGCTCAGGTAAATATGGGCCAGAGATACAGAGCATACGATTTTCTCTTTCCAAAACGTTCAGGCTGATCTAACTGCACTTGAACTAAAGCTAAAGATTTGTTAACTAATTTTTAGGTAGATAAGGCTAGGTTATATGAATACAATCTTAAGCGTTCAGGTAAGTATGGGCCAGGTTTTGAATGATCTACAGAGCATATGATTTTCTCTTTCCAAAATGTTCAGGCTGATCTAACCGCACTTGAAGCACAGAGCAAAGAGGTAAATTTCCAGCTCTTCCTGCCTAAAAAGTTGCTTGCTTTTTAAGATGTCAGAACCACTTGTGGAGGGGACCGTAATAGTATATTTTTCATGTGGGAAGTTCATGTCTACAGGCATAAGTGTCTAAATTTTGAAGACCTCTTGTCTGTCAAGATCAAAGCAAAATAATGCAATGATGCTTTTAATAGAAAAAGTACTTGCAAAAAAAAAATTAAGCCTGTTTCCCATATTGTGGAAGTTTACAATTCTGCCTCCCCTGCACTTTAGTTCTTAAAGTTCACTAAGTTCACCAAGTTTGATCCACCACACACAAGACTGCGGCAATCCAGACCTCTTTTAGGATAGTAACACCGAGTTTGGGTAAACATTTGAGCATTTTAGTTGTCTCTGCTTTGGAAACATTATTAAAAACAAGAAGAAATAAGGACACCCGGAGTGGGGTGATTCATCAAGCAGCAATGAGCCCTACGGACTATGTGTCTTGTCTAGGCTGCCCTTTCCCACGAAAGGTCAGACAAGTTGTTCTTTCAAGGTCTAACTTGGGCTTTCTGTGGTCCTATGATTCTGTTTGTATAGCAAAAATATCCAACAAAATAGAAGGAAGAAAGCAAAGTGTTGTGAACTTTTTAAAAGAAATAAACTATCTGATATAAAAAAATCTCTGTCTTGCCAAGCTCTTTAGCATTCAATAACATTGTTTTCGGCTCCTTCATTCAGCTGCAGGTGGAAGCCACTTCTCCCCTAGACCTAAGACATCTTCTCTCCTAGTATTGTTTGCTGGAACGCACAAAAGAGGCTGTTCACCATCCATCTGCTTTCCAAATACGAGTTAATTCCCACACTACTCACAACAGCTCAGGGAAAGATATTTTTCTCCTGCAGCGTTTCCCCGCTGCAGAAAAGGCAAATGGGTCTGTAACTATGCAGAGCCAGAACTCATCACACCACCCAAATGTGTCAACAGGCAAGGGGCAACCAAAATCAGGTATGTGAGAAGGAGAAAGACCCTATGCTGAATCTACCCAGCCAACATGGATTTTGCTAAATTTTGCAAGGAAGTTGCAGAATTGCACCCAATCATAAATGCTTAGGAGTGTGCACTCAAGAAACGGCAAACATCTTTTGGAATTAATTGGCATGAGCAGAAAATTGGATGCTTTTTCTCTTATGTGCCTACCAGGTAAAGATGAAGGATTTCTGGCCCCCTCTCAGTGTTATGGCCATTCCTGTACAATGCTTTATATTCTCCCTTCTTTAATAAGTAATAATTTGCAGAACTGCTTTTTTGGGGCTTTTTTTAGACCCAGTTGTCAGCTACCCATAGATGACATGTTCAGGATTGTCTTTCAAGTATGGAAAGTAGACACACACTTAATTTTTAAATGAAATATGCCATCATATCATATGCCCAGCATGAGCTGGGCGTTCGGATGCGGGGCACTGATACATACCTCCAAGTGTAATTCCATTTGTCTCACCAGTTAGGTAAATGACACTTAAGTTGAACAAAAAACACCACTTAAAAGGAATGGGAGCCCCCCTTGATGCTATAACTGTGCAGAAATTGTCCTTAACACCGGGCAGTCTTAGCATGGTTCATCACCTGGTATTTTTAATTATATCCTTTAAGTGAAGATGTGTGTGTGAAGTACACAGTCTGGGGAAGGATACCCCTTGATATCCAAAGATATGCTTTAAGATCCTGACTCCCACCAGCTTTTTCACTTTTTAAGTCAGAAACAAATGTTCCTGTATCTGTCCAAGCCCTTTTATCTTCTTTTTTTTCAGCAAGCAAATTTTAAAATGCACTTTTCCAAAATGTTCCCTCCAACACCGGCAGCTTAACTCTAATAAACAATTTAGAAGTAACACTGAGGAATTTTATTGGACTTTAGGAATAAGGTCAATAATCTTGCAAGAAAAATACATATTTGTCAGTGAAAAAAAAATTATAAATCAATAAAACTATGATTTATGCTTCCTGTGAGAAAGAGAGGTCTGGAATAATTCAGGATAATTTCTTCCTACAGGCAGGTGACTGCAAAGTGAAGTTTGAGGCTCCCAGTCCTCCTGGTTGCCTTCCAAGGAAGATGAGATTGTGGGCTCTATTTCTCAGGGCTAAATACTGTAATTCACTTTTGTGCAGAAACTATGGAAGAACCTAGATAAACATGTGAGGATCATGGAAAAACCCAGTTGTATTAATGCATCATAGGCTTTCTCACTTAAGATAAACTGTTCACTTCCTAGCTGATAAAACTTCTTTGAGTTGACAGCGGTTTAACATCCTTCTCCTGCACTTCACCAGAGCACTCTTCACCTCTTTGTTCCTCAGGCTGTAGATGAACGGGTTGAGCATGGGGGTGACCACGGTGTAGAAGACAGAGGCCACCTTATCCAGGCTGCTGTGGCTAGACACAGGTTGTAGGTACATGAAGAATATTGTCCCGTACAATAAGGAAACAGCTGTCAAGTGGGAGGCGCAGGTGTTGAAGGCTCTGGACCTGCCCTGTGCTGAGTGCATCTTCAGGATTGTGCGGAGGATACAGATGTAGGAAAGCAAAATGGCCATGCTCGTGCTCACTCCATTTATGGCAACAAAGGCAAAGATGACCATCTGGCTGTTGTGGGTGTCAGAGCATGCAAGCTTTAGCACAGGGCTGACATCGCAGAAGAAGTGGTCGATCTGGTTGGGTCCACAGAAGGAACCCCTAAATGCATAGCCTGTGTAGATGATGGCACAGAGAAAGGCAATGAGGTAGGATGATCCTACCAGCTGCCAGCAGACGCGTCTGGAGATGACCGTCACGTAAAGCAGGGGGTTGCAGATAGCAACATACCGGTCGTAGGCCATCACTGCCAGGAGGTGACACTCGGCTGTCGCAAAGAAAGCAAAACTGTGGAATTGCATCACGCAGCCAGTGAAAGAAATGGTTTTGTTCTCTGATAACAGGTCTGCTAGCATTTTGGGGGAGATGACTGTGGAATAACAGACATCAACAAATGAAAAATGGGTGAGGAAGAAATACATGGGGGTGTGGAGGCTGGGAAAGACCCAAACCAAGACCATAATCCCAATGTTCCCCACCAAAGTGACAGTGTAAATCAATAGAAAAAACCCAAAAAGAGGGGCCTGCGCACACGGACTGTCTGTAATTCCTAAGAGGATGAATTTAGTCTGCGTGTGATTTCCTCCCATGACCAGATGTTACCTGCTGAGGCAAATGGAAGAAAAATATAAAAATGATAATAAATAGAGTTTCACTTTTGGACCATGTTTTACTCCAATCAATCACCAGTTTAATTGCCACATTTTGGTATATTCTGCTATGTTTTCTAAATCCATATTGTATTTTTTTTGGTTTTCAGCTTAGGTACTTAGAAAAGAACCAGGAGTGAGTTGAAGAAATAGGAAAGCCAATTCTGGTTTTGTATGCTTGGATACATAGAACTATGGATTTATTCTAGCACATGTGTTCTCAGATTTAAGAAAAAAGATGGATATTTATTCACTTACAGTCTGAAAGGAATTTGTTTCAGAAGACACCTCAGAGGAACTTCATAGGAGTGCATTTATACCTGGAGCAAGAGAAAGTCACAGTTCCAGTGAAATCACAGATTACAAAACATTAATGACCTCCAGACATTTTCCCTTGGCTTTTAATTATTATTGCAGTCTTCATATTACATTTGTCAAACTATTAGATTTCACTCGCAATGGATACAATTCACATCGGTAAAGTAATGATTTATACATTTATGAGCTTCAGCACACTGAAGCATCCTAAAACCATGGGCATTAAGTTAAGATGCTTACCTGAAATCTGAGTTAATTTTAAAATGTGCTTATTCCAAAGGCTGATTTGTTAATGACTGAATTCTGGTGACAATTTGAAACGTTGCATTTCTCTATGACAAAATAATACTCGTTCTTATTTAACACTTGCATAAATCAGTTAATCTTGCTTTAGCTGCCTAAAGAAAAACAATTTGCATAAGCCATTACTCCCTCTTATTATAGAGAAAACCTACTTTGACAATGCTGGTTTCTGACTGAGATGATAAAAAAGAGGACGTAAAGAAGAAAGCCCACTGCTTAAATGCAGGCAAGGCTTGGCTTTGTCTTGGTGTTACGGCTCCTCCTGTGCCTTCGCTGCTACTGAGTGGTGGGAGTCAAGGGTTTAACCCAAAAGCAGCAGAGAACATCTATGCGTCTGCCCAACCTCTATTAACTGCCTGATGAGAAAAGATGTGTCCTCCTTCCCACACTTCAATAGCTGAGATTGTGGGAGACAGGGCTGTAAATATGTCCTATGTGCTCTCCTGGGATAAAGGCCCCAGGGCTCCTCATGACATTGTTTGTGAGGGGGAAAAAACAAAAGAAAAAGAAAAAAAAAGGAAAAAAAAAAGGGTGAAATGCAATTCTGAAAGCCAACGTGCTGCTTCAGGTGTCTGAAAGGCATCACGTGAATGAGTCATCACTGAGCACAGATACACAGTGGCAATAATGACCAGCTCATATAATGCTTCTGAGATACTTGTGGATCCTGCAAAGGTTTTGGTCTGACCTTGCCAACAGAATGAAAATGAGTTTAGAGAAATTTCAGATCTTTCAGAGGATCCCCAAATGGTACCTAAAGCACAACTTACTCCATCTCTGGAGCTGCTGATGTCCTTCTGTGGACCCTGGATAGGCCAGATAATCCAGCAAGGGTGCGATTATCCACATTTAGGTACCTATGGCCCCGATGTCCACATCTGAGCTAGTAACCCTGGGCTTCCACTATATTCAATGGTGAGAAATGGGCATTTTCAGACAGTGATTGGTTGTCCCAGAGTGAACTAATAGGCCATAATCACCTTAACCAGCCTTACCTGGAGCCTCCATCCCCACCCTTTGCCTATTTGGCCATGAGCTCTATTTAAGCTCAGCCTAGGGGTCTTGCTTCTCTCTTGAGTTATGCTAGAGAAGCACTGGTTTCCAGTTCAGCAATAGGGGTGCACACCTACAGATTCCTTTGAACTACACCTAAGCTAGACTATGGACCTGCCTGCAGCATTGCTGGGCCTGACCCTGACCAGAGGATTAAGGTGGCTTGACAAAAGGTCTGTCTAGCAATGATGTTCTAGCAGGTGGGTGCTGTGTAGACCTCCCTGTTCTTAACCATCAGTAGCCTGGAAGCCTTTTAGGCTAATTCATCTTCTGGAGGCTTGGGTCAGCCTTCATCCCCTCTAATCCCAGCCATCTGCTCCAGGCATCCAGCCAGAGCTAATTAGGACAGCCTAAGCTCCTTGCGATAGGTGTTTAAGATACTTGAGTAAATTGTCCTTTGGATGCACCTTCTCACCTCCCCATTGATTTTCAGACGGAGGAATAACTTGTGCTTGTTTGGATATCTACTTTTTCCATCTCTGGAGGCTGCCAAGTGTTGTAACGGGTTTTTGACAATAATTAATGGAGGATTTTGCAACTCCCACGTATGCAGCTAAACCTTTATTAGCAGTTTAGACTGTTATGACTCTTGTGGATTCTGATTAAGGAGCTGGCAGTACACAATCAAGATTCACTTCTCTTAGAGACCTAAACTGCAGCCAAACCCATGACAAACCTTTGCCCCTGCTCATTGCCCACAAAGACCTGCAACCTGCATCATACAGATGACCTTCATCATCAGGCTGCCCTTCTGCAGGTCCAATGTTATCAGCCACTTCTGCTGTGATATTTCTCCTCTCCTGGCTCTGTCCTGTGCCAGCACCTACATCAATGAGATGATCCTCTTCTCCCTGGCTGGTGTCATTGAGCTCAGCCCCATCTCCCCCATCCTGGTCTCCTACATCTTCATCTCTTTCACCATTGTGAGGATCCATTCAGATGAAGGCAGGCAAGAAGCCTTCTCCACCTGCGCAGCCCACCTGACAGCAGTGACCATGTTGTACGGGATGGCAATCTTCATGGATTTACGCCCCAGCTCTAGTTACACCCTGAACACCAACAAAGTGGTCTCAGTCTTCTACACGATGGTGATGCCCATGCTGAACACCCTCATTTACAGCCTGAGGAACAAGGTGGTGAAGGATGCTCTGAGGAGAACAGCAGAAAGAATCACAGTAAGGCCCTGAACTCCCATCATTAACATCTGATAGAGACTCCTGCATCTATGGAGCCTTCACTCATGGAGATACTAAAAAGTTGCCTGAATGAGGCCATGAGCAACCTGATGTGGCTGTGAAGTCAGCCCTGCATTGAGTGGGACAGAATAATTTTTGATCAGAAAGGACACCTATGAGGTCTCTGGTCCTATGAATGGCAAGTTATACAGATATATATAAATATATGTGTGTATATATATATAAATACAGTATTAACTGTATATTGTACAATGTATTTATATATATAATGCGATATATTCTTGTTTTAAATGTATATGCACAACACACATTCCTGATTTTTCTTGTCAGTCCCCAGCCTCAATTTAGGTGGGGTCTCAATTTATGGGCTGGGTGGGGGAGGCAGCTTCTGTGAAAAGCTCCTCCTAGGAAGGATGGAAACACGATCAAAATGGATAAACTTTGAAGTTTTAGTGCAGTTAAACAGTAATGGGATAGTCAACTGAATAAAATGTAATTTTTTAAACAGGTTTGTCTTTGAAACCAGGCTGCTGAATTAAATTGCAGTGTTCAATTGATATTTGTCGCTTGTTTTTAGGCAACCACACACCTTTATCCTTTCATTTTTACCCCTTCAAAATTTCTGCTTTTCAAAGCCATGAAACAAAGCTCTAATGAGTTTTCTAATTTATGCCCACAGCGGTTTGTTAAAAGCAAAGACAATTATATTGTCAGTAGAGTTTGCATCCAGAGATTTGCGCTATTGCATGAGGCAACAGGGAAAAAAACCACAAACACAACAAAACAAAACAGAAAAAAAAGAAAAAAATCCTGGAACAAAGAAATGAGGGTAATAAAAAAAACCTTCTGTCTTTATTCCTTATTCAAGAAGTAACTCCTGCCAGAAGTTGCCATTTCCCGCTTTTACTCTATTCTGCATAAAAACTTGTTGTTGCTGTGAAAATGCAATGTCACTGAGTGAGCAGGAACCACAATTCCACCCCCACCCCAAAAACCCAACAAACAAAACCAAACCCCAAACAAACCGAAACAACCAAACCCCAAACCTCAAAGCAAAACAACTAAACAACTTTTATCTTTCTTTGGCATTTCATCACTCAAAGGTAAGAGGTGTCCCTGATCAAATAATCTCACCAAGCCCCTCTGGGAGGGGACAGAGGGGGGCTTGGCTGGGTCCTGGGTGAGGGTTTTCCACCTGCAGTCACTTAATGTGTGCTGTATCGCCAGTAGTGGGAAAATACCCTCTAACACGGTGAAAATTAACCCAGACTGTGATGTGACCCTAGTCAGCACCTAGAACTTTATTATTAT